ACACATGACCATCAGCAAGACCCAACTCTTCATCAGGTGCCGAAGGTCTCTCCCTGTGAACACAGGAGAGGAACAATGACTCACTGAGGGTTGTTTTCATGGAGACAAACAGACAAACAGGTTCTTCATGACATCCTGAATGAGACCAGGGAGCATTTCCCCCAGTTTCGAAGGGAAACCACAAACTGGATGATTATACTGCTACAGCACAGTTCAATTCCTTCACAAAACATTTCTGTAAATATCTCAGTCCATGTGCTCACTAGGACTACAACTAATGCTTAGTTTGATTACTGATTATCCTGCACATGATTTTCTTATTTAATCAGTCAAAATATTATCTCCCAGTTTCTCCTGAAGTCCCAAGGTCACATCTTCAGTCAAAACCTAACAAATGCAGGTTCGAATCACAGTGCCTGCATGTCGACATGTTGAATTGTGGGCAAGACACTGAACTGGTGGTTAGAGCCATCAGTGTGAGATGGCGCCACAGATGGCTGCCTCTGTACTGTAAACAAATTCCTTGTGTGTAACATACTTGGCCAAACAAAGATGTTTATCCTAATTTCTAGGAGCATAATCCCCAGGACAGGATCTATAAAGACTTTCTCTGCGGTGAAACTGCTGATGCATCAGAGAAACACGACACTGCTGGTCTAAGATTTACTTTACAAGGTGACCATGGGCAGTGGTTAAACTGGGATTCATGAGGAAGGGGGGCCTTCGGGGGATGACACATGCAGTCTAGTGACCACATCTTAACATTCATAATATTATAAACACAGACCTATAATTTGCACGTTTTTGTTTTTTTCCAAATTGTGTGAAATGGCTAATAAAGATAGGTAATACAAGGTGAATTGGTTTAGTCTTGACTTCTGGTCGTGAGTGAAGTGTTGGGGGATGGGAAATCTGTTGATTGTCGGTTGCAAAAAAAAAAAAAAAATTCAAAAACTGTCTGATTTGTACAGTAGAGAGCTTGTGCAGGAAATCAAGAACTTCCCTCACCTGCCATCAAAAACCACCCACAAGCCTCCTTGAGCTCATCACTTTTCTGCAAGATAAGGATCTAACAGAGATCTACCCTAAATTTTGGACTGCTCTCAGGATTGCACTTAGACAAGCATCACAGAACAGACAGAAAGACCCAGGTTCAACTCAGCACGAGACATGGACGCAAGGACCCACAAAATTGCCAATGAAACAAAGTCAGACTCATTATAAACAACACAGAAAACAAAGAACGACAGGAGCAGCCTCTTGTTCAAGCTGAAATAGATTCTGAGGCTCTCAGGTCGTCTTGTCTCAGACTTTACTCCTTTTCTCATGTAAACGTGCCACTACAACAACGTAGAAGGAGGCTGCACCCAAACGTTTTCTGAATTCAAACTACATAAGGACTATGATGAAGTTGAACTACTCTATAAAATGCAGTGGTTCTTACAATTTGACTGTGGTTCAGTGTGTAGAGTGGTCGTCTCCCAACGAGTGACAGTGTTGGGGGATGGGAAATCTGTTGATTGTCGGTTGCAAAAAAAAAAAAAAAATTCAAAAACTGTCTGATTTGTACAGTAGAGAGCTTGTGCAGGAAATCAAGAACTTCCCTCACCTGCCATCAAAAACCACCCACAAGCCTCCTTGAGCTCATCACTTTTCTGCAAGATAAGGATCTAACAGATCCCTAAATTTTGGACTGCTCTCAGGATTGCACCTACTCTGCCGGTCACTGTGGCTCAAGCAGAGGGGAGCTTTTCAAAACTGAAGTTGATCAAGTCATACCTGAGGTCAACCATGTCTCAGGAATGGCTGACTGGCCTTGCTGTCATCAGTATCAATCACTCAATAGGGGAGCAGATTTCGTATGATGACATTATTGATGATTTTGCATCAAGGAAGGCCAGAAAGGTCAGATTTTAGTTTTAGTTTGTGTTTTCTGTTTTTATTGCAGTGTAATAATAAGCTTTTCTTTAGTGTGATTTGTGTGATGAAGGATTTGTGCTATTTAGAATATTTAATTCTATATTTTATTTGTATATTATCCTTAATGTTTTATATTATTGTTCTCTGCTCTTGTTATATTCTGATTGTACATATTTTTGACAGTTTTTTGTATACAGAGTATATTTATTTAAGTTCTGATAACTTATACTGTTTTGTGCAGAATTGTGGTTTTCAAATGTTCTGTTGAAGGATTTGTGCAATTGAGAAAGAAGTTTGTCTTACACTTATATTGCGCTCAGAGGGGGGTCTCGCCCGGGGAGTAATTCAATGTAGAACCACCACTGTTGTCAAGTTTCCTATTTTCACTAGATTCACCTTGAAAAGATGTAGACTAACATAACTGTATTCATCTGTAGGTCTGTCTGAACTTAGAGAAATGTAGAAACACTTTTAAAATAGCTTTAATATATATTCAGTAAATATATATACACAGTATAATCCATCTGCAGTGAGTTCACAGCAACATATTCCATCAGCACCACCTACAGGTCAGTAACAATCAACACCTGCTCTAATCAAACATGATATTATTAGCATATATGCTAGTATCAGGATCTGCTCCATTAGTTAGTTACTGATAAAGTTACTCATGTCCATCGCTGGACTTTCTTGCCTGGATTAAGATGTAATGGTGCACCTGTCAACATTTGTTCTAGAAAACACACCTGTCCACGGGACTGAGAGCCTCTGCATACGCTGCTCTTTAATACCTGCACTATAGATGAGCAGGAGACAGTTAGTCCTACACTGGACATCAGTTAAAGCTGGAACAATACTGGGGCATGTGCCCCAGTAAAAGGGGTCTAATGATGCCTTCTGCTCAGTCTACAAGTTTACACATTTTAATATACTCTACATTATTAATCAGACTCACATTATAATATCCTGTCTGATGTTTGCTTCACTGAAACAACTGTTTACACATCCAATGTGACCATAAGACATAGCTTATCTTCATTTCTTTGATGTGCTTAGTTAGGTACACAAAACAGGTTATACTGGAATGAGATCTTATTCAATCCTTTTTGTGACTTGTACTATTCAATAGCTACTGAATATTAATGAATTATTTTTTCCATGACTATAGACACTACACATAAGATTGCCAATTTTATACTGTGGCATAGCTCAAACACTATTAAATTCTATTGAAACGTCCCGCTGTTCAGTGGACAGACTGATTATATGCCATACAGATGGAGCAACTGGTTGTGTATTTTTCTTCATTGTGTTTTACCATGGGTTGGATATAATTTACATGCACATGCAATTCAAGTGTATCCAGTCATTCTTTTATTGTCTGTTACCTGTTGAAGTTTTCCTTCTTCCAATATTTACCTACCTGCAGATTCCTCTGTGTGCTCTTGGTAAACAAAGCACTTCCAAAGCATCAATGAGCACACGCCCACCAGGAATGCAAATGTTGCGTGTTACACACTCTACGCTTTAGCTAAAATTGCACAACAAGGACACCAGGAACAGAAGAAATCTTGCTGCGCCATCTGTCTGGATCTACTGAAGGATCCGGTGACTGTTCCCTGTGGGCACAACTACTGTATGAGCTGTATTCAAAGCCATTTGGATGAGGAAGATCAAAAGGAAACCCACAGCTGTCCTCTGTGCAGACAGACCTTCGTACTGAGGCCCACCCTGGTGAAGAACACCATGTTATCATATTTAGTGAAGAAGCTGAAGAAGACAGGAACAGCTTCAGCTGATCACTGCCATGCTGGACCTGGAGATGTGGCCTGCGATGTCTGCACTGAAAGAAAGCTGAAAGCTGTCAAGTCCTGTCTGCACTGTCTGGTCTCTTACTGTGAACAACACCTGCAGCCTCACTACAAATCTCCTGCCTTTGAAAAACACAAGCTGGTCAACCCTGCCAAGGGGCTTCAGGAGAACATCTGCTCTCGTCACAATGAGGTAATAAAGATTTTCTGCCGCACTGATCAGATGTATATCTGTTATCTCTGCTATATGGATGAACATAAAGGCCACAACATAGTCACATCTGAAGCCCAAGGGACTGACAGGCAGAAAGAGATTGAAGTGAGCTGGCAAAAAATCCAGCAGAGAATCCAGACCAGAGAGGAAGGTGTGAATGAGCTTCAGCAGCAGATAGAAACAATCGAACAATCTGCTGATCAAGCAGTGGAGGACAGTGAGATGATCATCAATAAACTGGTCCATTTTATCAAGGAAAAGGGTTCTGATGTGAAGCAGCAGATCAGATTATATAAGATAACTGAAGTGAGTCGAGCCAAAGAGCTTCAGGAGAAGCTGGAGCAGGAAATCACTGAACTAAGAAGGAAAGATCCTGAACTGCAGCAGCTCTCACACACAGAAAACCACGCTGAATTTCAACTCAGTTACTTGCTGCAGTTGCAACTCAGTGACTCTACAGACACACCAAGAACCAAAATCCATCCCGTGACACATTTTGAGGGTGTGCCATCAGCTCTGTCAAAGGTCAGCGATAAAGTACAGGACTTCCTTAGAGAGAAATGCAGCAAAGTCTCACTGTCATTGAGATCCGTGGATGTTTTGCTGCCACAAGAAGAGCCCAAGGGCAGAAATGAGTTTTTAAAATATTCATGTCAGCTCACACTGGATCCAAATACAGCCCACAAACACCTATATCTATCTGATGGGGACAGAATGGTGTCAGAGAGTTCAACATCAGACAGTGCCAGAAAGTTTAGTACCAGGAGACAGATTCCATGTTGAGCAGCAGGTTCTGAGTAAAGAGGCTTTGACTGGGCGTTGTTACTGGGAGGTGGAGTGGAGCGGGGAAGAAGTTTCAATAGCAGTGACATACAAAAATAATGAAGAATTGGATCAAAGTGGATTTGGAGAAAATAACAAGTCTTGGGCATTAGACTGTTTCGAAGACCGTTATAAATTCAGACATGACCAAGTTAAAACTCACATCTCAGGCCCTCAGTCTTCCAGAGTAGGAGTGTACCTGGATCACATGGCAGGTGTTCTGTCCTTCTACAGCGTCTCTGACACCATGACTCTCCTCTGCAGAGTCACGACCACATTCACTCAGCCAGTCTATGCTGGGATTTGGATTTGGAGGACTTTATTCAATCTGACCACTGCTAAGATTATTGAGTTAAAGTAGTTGATAGTTATTAAACAGACAACTGATGAGAATCTACTCAGCTAATTTTGAGTAAATTGATTTAGAATCTATCATTGTTGCTTATTTCTCTGTGAACTGGTATCTGTACAGTGCACTTCCCAGGAATCAAATGTCAGTCATACAGTGTGGGCAGGACTGTCACATGTTCTTTATGTCATATTGATGCAGTTTGATATTTTAAGAGGGTAAACCATATTGCTATTGCTCATGATAATCCCACAGTCCTTTTTGTGTGTAAAATCTACCCTGCTCTTTGGTTTATATAGTACAGTATATATTTACATTGTTGTTGTACCATTTTCTGCAGCTTAGGTTCCACTGTAGGATGCATTAATGGGCGTGACTAGTCTTTTTATCCCAATTGAGTTTCTCGGGTGTTTATTTCATTCCTTTCGATTTGTAGATATGCTCAGAAATGTGTTGTAAAGATCTAATCATTATCTGTTAATCAACACAAAATCATTTGTTATTTTCCTCAACAGTGCTGACACATGTGCTGATTGTTCCAACAGGATGTGTTGGTGTGTAAGGGCGTAGGCTTTGTTTTATCTGTGGTAGGGACAGACAGCCAAAAATAAAAGGGTATGTACTCTGTGTGTACCTGCTATCTGTCTATGTTTTTATATTCACATTCACACACATACATAAAGAGTCTGGCTGGCCCTGACTCTACAGTCAGTATATGTTTGGTGGTATAACTTGCCCGAAACCAAATTTGGATCATGATTTTCTTTCTTACATTAAACAGGTATTTTACATTTTTAAACAAATATGAGACAAATCCTGCAGTATTTTGTTTTTCCTACTGCTGTGATCATAGGTAACTTGATCCAAATCATGTGACACAGTCCGAGGGTTTCAGAGCCCTGCCCCCTTCATAGATCTGCCAGTGTACAGATGGGTGTAACCACTATACTGTGTAGTGTGAGAGCGGACCATCCCCACTCGGTGCAGATCAGTGCAGGAAATGAACTTGGCTCAGACTACAGCATATAACCGGAAGTGTTTGACTTTTACCGTGTCTGAGATAGGAAATGGCGCAGCCAGGCACTCAGCTGGATCAACAACAATTCTGCTGTTCCATCTGTCTGGATCTACTGAAGGATCCGGTGACTGTTCCCTGTGGGCACAGCTACTGTATGAGCTGTATTCAAAGCCATTTGGATGAGGAAGATCAAAAGGAAACCCACAGCTGTCCTCTGTGCAGACAGACCTTCGTACTGAGGCCCACCCTGGTGAAGAACACCATGTTATCAGATTTAATGGGGGAGCTGAAGAAGACAGGAACAGCTTCAGCTGATCACTGCCATGCTGGACCTGGAGATGTGGCCTGCGATGTCTGCACTGAAAGAAAGCTGAAAGCTGTCAAGTCCTGTCTGCACTGTCTGGTCTCTTACTGTGAACAACACCTGCAGCCTCACTACAAATCTCCTGCCTTTGAAAAACACAAGCTGGTCAACCCTGCCAAGGGGCTTCAGGAGAACATCTGCTCTCGTCACAATGAAGTAATAAAGATTTTCTGCCGCACTGATCAGATGTGTATCTGTTATCTCTGCTATATGGATGAACATAAAGGCCACAACACAGTCTCAGCTGCAACAGAGATGGCTGAGAGGCAGAAAGAGATTGAAGTGAGCTGGCAAAAAATTCAGCAGAGAATCCAGACCAGAGAGGAAGATATGAAGGTGCTTCGGCAGCAGGTGGAGGCGATCAATACCTGTGCTAATAATGCAATGAGAGAGAGCGAGAAGATCATCAATCAACTGAAGCAGCAGATCAGATCTCGTCAGATAGCTGAAGTGAGTCGAGCCAAAGAGCTTCAGGAGAAGCTGGAGCAGGAAATCGTTGAACTAAGGAGGAAAGATGCTGAACTGCAGCAGCTCTCACACACAGAGGACCACACTGAATTTTTGAACAAATGCCCCTCACTGTCACAACTTACTGAATCAAGCAACTCTCCCAGTGTCAGTATCCATGCACAGCCATATTTTGAGGAAGTGAAAGGAGCTGTTTCTGAAGCCAGAGATAAATTACAGGATGTTCTTATCGAGGAATTGAGCAAAATCTCACTGACAGAGATTGGCGCGGATGTCTTCCTGCCACAGCAAGAGCCCAAGAGCAGAGAAGATTTCTTAAAATATGCACAACAAGTCACACTGGATCCAAATACAGCACATAAACATCTGTACATTGAGGTGAGGAGCGTGAGATTTTCATATGACAACATGGACCTGCCTGAACACCCAAACAGATTTACTCTCTGGCCTCAGGTTTTGTGCCGTGAGACTCTGACTGGACGGTGTTACTGGGAGGTGGAGTGGGACGGGAACATTTTTATATCAATGGCATACAAGAACATCAGCAGAAATGGAATTGAAAGTACATTTGGAAACAATCACAAATCTTGGGCATTAAAATGCTCCAAAAATGGTTTTACTAACCGTTATGAGTTCAGACATAATAACATCCAAACTTCCATCTCAGGCCCTCAGTCCTCGACAGTAGGCATGTACCTGGATCACAGGGTGGGCGTTCTGTCCTTCTACAGCATCAGTGACATGACTCTGCTCCACAGAGTCGAGACCACATTCACTCAGCCACTCTGTCCAGGACTTGCTGTTTATAATGGATCTTACGCTGTGTTCCTAAACACAGGAAACAAAAGAAGATGACTGAAAAAGAAGATATGTCCCATTGGACAGGTCATTTCCATCGTACCGCAGAGGACCAGCATTTCCCAACCTTTTTGATTTTTTTATGCCTTGCAACACAGCAGTGTGTGGTTTATCTTGTCATGTTTAAAAGTTGCCAGCAGTTCCACCAAAAACGGAATTTCCCGCTGAACCTCTTAGATGGCTGCATTATTAACTCAAACCTTCAGAGGGCAAATGATTTTAATACACAAAAGAAAAATGAAAAACAATGACTACTTGTTGCCTTAACTACAGCTAACATATTTTTCTTGTGCTTTATAATTGAGCTTGGTCAAATTAGTCTAATTTTATATCATGCATGCAGCGTGATATTTGCATTCATGTCTCTGATTGTGTACGACTGGAAGCAAATAAGGAGCACAGTTAAAGAAAAGCAGTATGTGTGTCTCAATTTTACACAAAATAAACTATTTTATTAATGATAATAATAATGTTTGCTTATTTTGTCATAGTACTAGGGGCTTAATTTACTTTCTGGGCTTTGTGTTGTGTTAAATTAAACCCCTTCTGGAGAATCACAATTTTTATTTTTTGGCATATTATGTTTTATTAATTGAAGTTTGAACTTTTGCTGTTTAAATGCAATAATATTTGCAATAGTGGCAGTATTGCAAACATGAACCCTATCAAGTTAAATCAAGAAATAGTCAGTCTAACAAAGAAAATATAATTTGTTGTAATATATACTGGTCACAAGTTTATTCTTAAGTGTTGTGAATTGATGTCAACAATGGTTTGAGGAGCTCCAGGTGTCTCCTGGTGCAGTTAGTGAGCAGCAGATGGCAGCATTACAGCACAGAGTCAGAGGAAGGACATTCTAACAAAGAAAAAAAAACATCTTCAAAATGCATGATGAGGAGATGATGAAAATATTCTAAATAATTATAAATATACAGTATAAACTTGATAAAATTCTTTTGTAGAAATATTGTATTTTGAGGTTGATTCAGATTTCCACTGTCTGAGAAACTCACAAATAATCTAACAGCAGAACATAAACATTCTATAGTGCTTCCACACATACAGTTAAAACTTGGTTAATATATCCTCTAGATTGTTATGATTGATATGAATAGTATTGCCAAACTAGTATGATCTTGTCAACATTCATTTCAAGGGGAAATGCCTCATGGGCTTTGTTCTGGCATACTTCAGGATATTTCTTATCATGAAAAAGTGTGTGTGAAGCTGAAGTGATGCAGATCTGCTGTTGGCTGATTCAATGCTTGAAGGGTGGTATTATAGGTAGACAAAAAAATAACATTCTGACACATAATTTGAAGTGTAGGAGCAATTTTAGAAAATGGATATACTTGTGCGCTAATGAAGATGTAATGTTGAAACCTCATAGTTGTAATCATTTCACTCTGGGGGGAGTATTCATTTTTAAAATGTAACCTACTATACATTATTAATCCGAATGGTGAAATTCCTTACTGATAGCAATGCTGTTAGAGGACCAGGGGTTCACTGTCTTGCCCAAGGACACTTCAACACTTGGACTGGGGAGATCGGGAATCAAACCACCAACCTTCTAGTTGGGTGTTGTCTGCTCTACCTCCTGAACAACAGCCGCATGGTTTTGGCTTTTTACCTTCACACCTCAATAAACTACTGCTTTGTGGCTTTCATTTCTACAGTGGTGAAAGCTCCCTATGTGAAATAACACATCTTTATACTAAAGCTGTGACAAACAAAACAGCAAAAGGGGAACAAATCTCAGAACACGTGAGCCACCAAACCATAAATATCTTCACGACCTCAAATAGAAAAACTACTCCATTTATGAAGAAAAGGAGAGTAGAATTACTCTTTCATAGTCTTTTGGGAACTAAATGCTCACAGTGTGCAGGAAATTTAATCTTTTTCCCCACACGACTGCATTTTCATACACACCCACTCACTGGGTGTGCATTAGATAACACTTTAAAATGGCAACATTTTGTTCAAGTAAACAGATACTCATGCACAAATGAAATTTACAACACTACATTATAATAGAAGTGAAAGCCAGGGAGCAAAAAATTAAAGGGTTTTTTCCCCCTTCCTTTTCTCTTTCGCTGTGTGATAGCTGCAGCTATTGTTTTGGCTTCATAAGCCATTTAATGCTACTGACTTTCTTGACCACATCTTCTTTCTGTGTTGTCTTGGTTGAGCTCTGTGTGTGTCCGGGCCTGTTGTCTCAGCTCTCTTAAGTTGTTTAGAGTTGCTACCACCTGCTGGTTCCGGGAAAGACATGCTGACCTTTTGTCTGTGCCAGCAAATGGTCATAGAGTTTAGAAGGATGCCCTGGAGCCTATGAAATCTATTACATACAAATGCCACATTTTCTAGAGGCTGGGGTAGGGAACTGTTGACCTCCACCCACATGACAACAGTGGAGCACTTTTGGAAATAAATGCAAACAAAACAAACTAATACCAGATACACATCTACTCTTCCACCAGCTGCTGAGCCTCATGTTAAAGAGGTCATGCATGGTTTAATATGATGGGAGGGGTTATTGTAGCTTCTGGTCCAAATCACTTATGATTGGATCAAACTTATGACAGTAACATCAGTCTTCTAGGTAGTTAAATCAAATTTCCTCTGTATCAAATAAATAAATACAATCTGCATTTACTATTCTACTTGATAGAATAAAATTGATACACCAGCGTTTCCCCTAAAATGACTAATAAATAAACAGCATACATACAAAAGCTCTAAAATGTTGCTTGTGATGTCATGGTAGTGTGATGGGTTTAGGATGTATCTTGTGTTCCTTTGCAGAGTTGACTGTAGTTTTGTTAGATGCTGTTAGGCATTCCTTTGCAGAGTTGACTGTAGTTTTGCTAGATGCAGTTAGGTGCATGAAATGATAAAACAGTATATCAGCATGTGGATGTGAGATCAGCAGCTTTGAACAACGGCAAACATTTATGAAGAGACACAGAGCTTGTTGCCACTACCAGATATTTGGCACAATCTTATTAACAATATCCTCCTCAAATCAAACTGGAAGTTCTTAAAAAGATATTAGCCAGGAATGAGTCAGTCTCTATAGATATAATACATACTTTCGTCAAATGTGAACAACAGAACTTGAGTGGCAACCACTTGTCTGTGCATATATGCTGTAAAATGTAAGTATATCATGAGCCTAAACTGCCCATTTTATTCTTTCTGCACAATGTATTATGGTAGTATACTGTATAGTGGTACTACATTGAATTTTATAGTGAATTATTTTAGGACCAGCCTTTCTTAAGTCCTGAAATGTGATGTACCAGTGATAAGTGTCATATCTCATTCTTTAACCAAGCTAAAACAATGATTATCATGTTATCATTTAACAGCAATAGCTCTGATGTGGCCTGTGGCTAATCCTCATGCTAAACTGTGAATGCTAACATTGTTATTATTTGGAACGAAATGACAAATTGTTAAAATTTTACTTTCAAATACGGTGGTAGAAACTTGTTTATCCTAAAATACATACAGCAAGCACTGACAACTGAATGTTAATTGAACAGATTCCAGATTTAATTTAATGTCAGCTTTTATTTTGTAGGGGCAAGAACTTCTGCTCCCAGTACATATTTGATCATAAGATATTTATTGCATCTGCCCTGGACGATACCTGGAAAGCGCTCACTCCCTCTCTCCTCTCTGCTACCTAAATAGGAAACTTTCTAGGATGTGAAGAGGAGGCGGAGAGGAGATGCCACTGCTGCTGATGAAGTCTCTGTTGAAGACGGATGCTGTTGTTGAGTGTCAACAAAGTCAGCCCATCTGAGTGAGATGGAAATGAGATGCTGTCAGGTGAAACTCTGACGCATCCTCTCTCATTAGAGAAACCATCTGTGCATGTGTTTGTGTGTGTGAGGGGATGGCGGGGGGATTCCAGGAACTTTGGATACACTCCCTGACGAAGATGCTAATAGCTGCACTAATAGTTGAAAAACTGTGTCATTAGCTCTGCTTAGCATACTGGCCAGGTGGACTCCTAGTCTTGGCCCACAACATGCACACATATGCACTCAAACACACTCACACCAGCACATACTGGGTATTGTTTTGAAACTCTAGCACCAGTCAACATCCCCAGTGGGCCCACTGGTTTGTCAGTAATCAGTAATGAAACTCTAGCAGGTCACATGTTAGTGTTGAAATGCCCCCTTCTTGGTCCACCCATTGGGTCCTGATCAGCCACACACCCTGTCCGTCACACACACACACACACACACGTGCACATAATCATATCTCTGTTACTCCAAGTCACGCTGTGGAGATCCGTCACTCAGCAGGGGAAGCCATGTGCTCTCCCCCAGGCTGCAGAGGGGGTCACTGGGTATCCAGGACTTCACTGGTAGGATTAGAGGCCGTGTTAGAGAGCACCCATCACCAAAAGGTCATGGCTTTAGTGTTTGTAACAGTTAAACCTCCTCCATCAACTCCTGAACCTTTACCTGCACACTCACTCAATGAATATGTCAGCCTCATATATTTAAGTGATGTAACTCACCCTAAAGTAGCCATGCTGGGGGAGCTACGTTGTGCATGTGTGCAGAGTCATAGCTGCCTGTAAAAACACTGAGGTCTTATCTTCAGTTTGTCGGAGTTTCTGAGTTTGCCAGTGTCTAACTTGACATGAAATTTTTGGACATATTTATTTGATTTTGCAGTGAAATTGTGCCTTTAGGACAATCATGGATATGTCATTAAACCCCTACAGAGAAGGTCTAATCAAGTACAATAAGTCAAAATACCTGTTGGAGCATACCATCAGTGAGGGCTTAGAGGCTAGTCGTGTTTTTAGACTCAGCAGTACCTTAAATCCTGCATTTATTGTGAGATACTGTATGTTATGTTTAATGTGTTAACAGCTGCTAATTTACAGCACATATTCAGCATATATAGAGCAACATTAACATTCATCTAGAGTTTTCCCTCCTGGAAAATGTAAGTCCAATATTTATTGTCCTTATATTTATTTTTTGTCTCTTATCAACCTCTGTGGGAAATATCAGGCTCTTTATCTGATATTTTTAATGTAGTTGTAGCATTTTGGTTGACCACACTCAATTTATTGTAGCTACGAGTAAGAAAATGAATGAATAATTAAAATTCCCTGACAGACTATAGCTGTGAAGGCCCACTCACACCTGTCTTTGGAAAATGCCTCTGAAAGCTTGATGGTGAAGCGCTAACTAGCCTACTGCTAAGGCTTGATGCTAAATTACTGTAGCTAACTACTAACACCAGTCAGCCAGGGTGATGCTAGTGCTACTCAGTCACCAGTAGCTCTTCAGATCTGATTTGTATTTTCTCTGTACTTGACCATTCACTCCCTTTTGGCACTTTCTTCTCAGAAT